GCAAGGAAGGACGATGCGTCTGTTGCAGCACTATTAGGCGATATATCCGTAACCTCTATGTGGAGGTTAAAGAACGGTCAGCAGGTGGCCAAGGTCAGCGTGCCAAGRGCWGCTAAGCCAACCGAGGTCAGTCATGTCAAGGTGGGATGGACCAGCTGCAGGTTCAGAATCCGGCGCCCTGACGCCGTCAGGTGCTAAAAGTGCCATGGTTTCGGCCATTCACAAAGTAGCTGCATGGGCCCTGACCTCAGTGATGCCTGTCGCAAGTGCGGCGAGAAATCGCACAAGGAGAAGGACTGCACTAGGGACTCCAAGTGCGTGGCCTGCGATCGGGCGGGTCTGGTGACCAGTCCCCATCGTCCGGGTACAGCTGCCTGCAAGGCCAGATGTGCGGCCGAGCCGTGGCGCGTCTTAAACCGCCGCAATGATTAACTTCCTTCAAGTTAATTTAAATGGTAACTGGGACGCTCAACAGCTCCTAGATCAGACGGTGGCGCAAAGGGACATAGACATTCTCATCCTGAGCGAGCCCTTTGCGAGGAMAGTCGACAGCCCTCGGTTGCGCTTCAGCCTCGACAGAAAAGCTGCGGTCGGTACAACGCCTGGGACGGCCTTTGTCCACGATGACGACGGCGCAGGCCAAGGTTATGTGTGGATAAGGCTGCGAGATTTGGTAATCTTCAGCTGTTACTGGAGACCCGGCAMCACTTTAGGGGAATATGAAGCTTTCCTGGGGGAACTCGATCAGGCCATTCGCTCTATGGGCGAGGTCAGGTTAGTAGTCGGAGGTGACTTCAACGCCTGGAACGTGGAGTGGGGCTCTCGGTGCAACAATCCGAGAGGCGAGCTTCTTGCCGACCTGGTTGCTAGCCTGGGACTAACTCTATCYAACACCGGAGACACCCCAACATTTGTCAGAGGTGAGGCGACCTCCATCATTGATGTCACTTTTTCCAAAGGCGTTGAGATTCATGGCTGTACGGTTTTGGACGAAGCGAACCTGAGCGACCATGCTTACGTGACCTTCTTCACGGACCCTCCTCCCGTCGATCCCCACCCCGGCTGGCCCCAGGCAGCGGCCACAGCTCCGGGACATCCAGGCTGGGCGTTGAAGAAGATCAACATGGAGACTTTTTACAAGCATGTCAACTCGAGACAGTTAGCTCTCCCGAGAACACCCTCTGGAGTCAACGTTGCATTGCACGCAGCCGAAGCGTTGGACAAGTACATTTCGGATGCGTGCGACGCCTCCATGCCTCCCAGGACCCCTGGTCCTAGKGGTAGAAAGCCGGTGTACTGGTGGAACGAACACATCGCCGAGCTGAGGGTCAAAACTCTATCTCTCCGGAGGGCTTATCAGTCTGCCTTGAGGAGACTCGGTAATGATGGAGCCGTGACCGCCAGAGCCGACTTCTCCGCGGCCAGGAAGGACCTACGCAGGGATATCAGAAAGGCCAAGGAGCAGAGTTGGAAGGAGCTCTGCAACCAGGTCGAGTCTAACCCCTGGGGAAAGCCCTACAAGCTGGTCATGAAGAAGTTTGGTGAMGGTTCCACCAGGCTGRCAAGCAAAGGCAGAGAGCTAGCCATCTCTGACCATCTGTTCCCGGAGGCTCCTGTCACCAATTGGGACCTCATGCCTCGCCCAGAGGTCAGGAACATCTTCGAGCCCTTCGACCCTAATTCGGATGAGTTAGTCTTCGGCACCATAATTCCTGAGTTTACGGTCGACGAACTGCTAAAGGCCACCAAAAAGATGTCTTCGGGAAAAGCGGGAGGTCCTTCCGGCATACCAAACGAGATCCTCAAGAGGATCATCCACGCTCGCCCCTCATCCACGCTGAAAGTCTACAATAAGTGCCTCACCTCGCTGACCTTTCCAGTCTGCTGGAAAAAGGCGAGGTTGGTACTTCTACACAAGGGCCCGGGGAAACCGGTCGAGGCTCCCTCTAGCTTCCGACCCATCTGCCTCCTAGACACTCCTGGGAAGGTTCTGGAGAGACTCCTTCTCCAGAGGTTGGACGAACATCTGGACTCTCAGTACGGCGGCCGAGCACCAAACCAGTTCGGGTTTAGAAGGGGCATCTCGRCYGWATCTGCGGTKGAGGTCGTCACTAAGCTGGCAAAACATGCCGCCGAGGGCAACCACAGGCAGGTTGAGCTCTGCGTGCTGGTCACCCTTGACGTCAAAAACGCCTTCAACTCGCTCCGCTGGCCGGTCATCGATGAAGCACTAAGGGAAAAGGACACCCCYGAGTACCTGGTGCGAATGATTCGTTCCTGGCTTTCGGACAGAGAGCTACTGGTCGGCGAAAACWGGGCGCCAAAAGCTGTTACGTGCGGTGTTCCACAGGGATCGGTTCTAGGACCTACCCTTTGGAACATTGTATATGACGACCTCCTCACCATGGACGTTCCCCCGGGCATTCAGTTGATCGGCTTCGCTGATGATCTTGCGGTTGTGGGTCWGGCTAGGACAGGCGAGCAACTCGAGGATCTCGTGAATCCCGTACTGGATCGGATCGACGACTGGATGGTGAGGCACGGGCTACAGCTTGCTCATCAAAAGACCGAGGCTGTAATGCTGACGAAGAGAAGGGCCTACAACCCTCCCCGTC